CATTCTTGTCCAAGTGTGAAGAATCGTTACCTGAGTGTGGGCATGTAACTAAAGTCCGGCTTCCTCCCGAATATCCAATCCTTTTTCTTTCTATCAAATTTTAAAGGGAAAAAATTAATTTATCTTACATTTTCTTTTCTTTGTAAATGGCCCTGAGAAAATTCTACATGAGTGGATTAAGAAAACTTAACAGGAAAAAAAGAGAAATGTCCATGTTGAACTCGATGTTGTGATGGCATAGATGAGACATGAATGCGCATTATAAAAATGACCCCCACTTTTTAAAAAGTTGTTTTGCTCTTTAAAAGTAACACAGATTTATGCAGGGGGTGTCAAAAATACAGCAAAGAAACAAAATTTGTATTCTATTGTACCACCCAGAGATAACCACTCTTCACGTTTTGGATCTGTATCTTCCTAGATTTTTTGCCTTATGCATATACTAGGAAATACAACAAAGGCTTGCCTTGGATATAGGTTATTCGAACCAAGAACGCTTGTGATTATTGTTTTGACTTTCTTTCTTTCTTTCTTTCTTTCCTCTCTCCCTCTCCTTTTTTCCCTCTCTCCCTTCCTTCTTTCCTTCCTTCCTTTCCTCCTTCTTTCCTTCCTTCTTTTGACAAATAAGTATAAAAAAGTATGAATATAAGCCTGCTCCCCAGGGTGCACTGTTTCATTTATACATTTATTCATTAGGTTATTCAATAAATATTCCTATATGCCATGTACTGAGTTAGGGGCTAGTATTATGTGGGCCTGGGGCTTTTTCCCAGGTGTGGTGGTAATGATGTTACCAAAGACAGGGAGACAAGGCCTGAACCAAAAGCTGTTTTTGGCACCTACCTATGACTCCATGGAGAAGCTGAGGTGTCCAGGACAGATCTCTGGAGACCAGAGGCAGTGGGAGGGACCAGTTTCTCTTCCCTTTTGGGTAGAAGAGCAGAAGCAGACTGGAGCCACTTTAGCTGTTCACTCACCTAGTCTACCTGGCCTCATGATCTGAGGCAAAGGTTATTAATAGTTAATAAAATATTATTAACTTAGTGTTATTTATTTATTATTATTTATTTAGTGTTGTATGCCAAGTAGTATACTCTGCATATATTACTTTATTAACTTCTAACATGAATTTTATAAACTAGTAACTGACATTTATTGAGCACTTAACTATGTGACAGCCACTTACACCGCTATTATTTTATATGCAAGACATAGAATGCTTAGGATACACCTGTAAGTTCTATTATGATCTCCTTTACAGATGAGGAAACTAAAGTTCAGAGACTGATGCAGGGTCACATGACTGAAAATGACAGAGCCAGCAATATCAGAGCTTCTACTGTATTTTCACCCATGATTGTATAATTTAATTAATGAAAAATAGTGTTTCTGACTGTAAAGAATCCTCACCAAATTCAATTCTGAAAGGTTTTTTGAGTGTTACTTTTGGGACACTTTAGCATCAAAGTCAGTGTAAGAAAATATTTACCAAAAAATCCAATTTTAAATTAATCCTGTTGGAGCTCATTTCTTTTGAAAAAGGCTTCCTTCTTTAATTAGTCCATTTCATTTTCATTATATTTTCAAATTTGCTACTGCTTTGTGCTCTTCCTTGGCAATCAGTAATCTCTCTTTATTAAAAAGATGACTTTTTAATATGGTAAAATACTACATAACATAAAATTCACCATTTTACCTGGTTCAGTGGCATTTTAAGTGCATTCACATTGTCGTGCAAACCACCGGTGCTCCCCATCTCCAGGACGGTTTTATCATCCCAGACTACACATGTTAAATAATAACACCACATCTTCCCAATGACTATTGTTTTTAAAGGAGATAGATAACTATCAAGCTTTGGTTTCTGTATGTGAATGAGCACATAATTGATTTAGTGGTATTAGGGAGAAGAATATTTGCTGATATAATGGCACATGCAGAACCTACTGACAAAGGTGTATAATTTGTAAAATAGCTGAGTGGGCAAAATTCTGATTTTCAGTTGCCCTAGGCACTTCAGTGCACTTCTGATAATGATTTTCCTTGGGCTGTAGTTACACTGATAGAAATCACATCCATGCATAAAGAGCAAGCTTAATTATACATAACTAAATACCTAATATGAGGTTTTACATTGTTCACATATATTTTCTGTTTTACCAAAGATGAGACATTCAGTGCTAACTGATCTCAAAAAATAGTGTGGGTTCAGAGCATGAGCATCTTATTGTATGTATTATCCTTTTTTTTTTTTAAACAAAGAAGATACCATTTTGCCTTTCCGTCTCCCTTTGAGAATTGTTTTTATTACATGGGGATTCCATGGACTCCTCTGGTCCCTGCTGTGACACTTAAGTGAGGTTTATTGAGGGTTTCAGATCCAGTGGGTGGTGGAGCAAAATTAACTGATTCCCACTGAGAATGACATTTCTTTACATTCTCAACTCATTTGTACTGAGCCCAATCACTTGAGCTCAAAATAATAAAAGTAGCCAAAGTGACTGGGATGCAAAGTCTCCGTTTCTGTTCTAAATTCTGTATATGCATTATTTTATTTAATCTGTACAATTCTGTGAGATGGAATCAACTTCTCGTTGTTTAGGTAGGAAAGCAAAGGAACAGAAAGATTATATAACTTGCCCAAAGTGCCCGGTTACCAGTGACAGACTGGGGTTCGGAACCAGGCTTCTCTATGGACATGAGGTCCTAGTCCTTCAGGCTTGGCTAAAAGGTATCTTTGGAAGAATGTTAGGGTTAAAACAAAAGTGTCCCCCCAAACCCACAGTGCCCTCAAGCATTCCCCCTTCCTTTGGGACTGAGCTAAGTGGCTTGTCTCAGTTGAGGTCAGGCACAGGGTCTAGGGGTACAGGCTCTCTGGCCAGGGAAGGAAAACGGAAAGAGCAAGATCTTCCAGCTGCCCTTTGTTAACCAGTTGGGAAGAGGGGAGGGGAGGAAGAGAGGCCTTAAGCACATTTCCCAGGGTGTCTGGTCAAGGCTGTTGGGCCCCTCTGCCTGGGTCCCATAAGCGCTGCCTTCTTCTTAGAACCCCTCTGTCCCGAGGGAACTCCTTCTCCAGAACTGACCTCCCGGGGTGTGCTCTTACCTTTGTGCACCTCGGTGAGAGTGGTGAGAACTCCTTTGCCCCGAGTGTGTCCTCTTCCAGGTTGTGAGGATAATGGTAGGCCTCCGTGAATGGGTGCTGAGGTGAGAGTGACCCCTCCTCCTTGCGGCTTCCAGATTCTGTCCCTCATCATCCAGGAAAGGAGTTTTCAGGCAGAGGCTCCCAAGTGAGAAGGACCTTTCTGGACAGGGAGGAGAACTGATGGATTCTGCCAGAAATTGAAGCAGTTCAGCCACTTGTATCCGAGGGCGTGGTCACGGCGACCTAGCAGCTTTTGGAAGGACCTCAGCGTGGCTCCGGAGCCCCGCAGTCTCCAGTCTTCCCCCAGTTTGTGAAGGCCAGAAACACTCTCCCAGCCTTTGTTCCTGATTTGCTGCTGACAGACCGCAGTCACCCGCACACAACTTAAAATGAGCAGAGGTGACATTCCTGGGAATGTTCCTTACCCTAAGGAACGTGTTACAGATGGCATTCATGGTGTTCATGAGTCAAATTTATCTTTCAGAAATAAGCACTTTCTGCCTTAGGTAACACTTTCTCTGAATAATTTTGTGGACTTGGAGTCCTGTACCCTCCTCCTAGCAAGAGGTAGCATTCTGCTCTGGATTATCCTCGAGGTCTGTCTACTATGCTCATTCAAGACCTGCAGAGGGGCTGGGGATTTAGCTCAGCGGCAAAGCGCTTGCCTGGCAAGCGCAAGGTCGTGAGTTCGGTTCCTGGTACCGGAGAAAAACCAAAAAAACCAAAGACCTGCAGAAGTTCCTACAGAGAACAGCAGTGTTTATACTGCATTTCCCTTCAGTAATTGTACCTCACACTAAAAACAGTGACTGGTGAGCTTCACACTGAAGTACAGTCTTTACTTCAAAAGTGTGACAGTATTCCACAGGGTGTTATAAGTGAACTCTCTTGAACAATAGTGGCAGGAAGCAGTTGAGTCTTAGGAAGGATTTATTACAGCGTGTTCAAATGTAAGGTATGTCATGCAAATAAAAAGACAGACGAAATTCAGCAGTGGTTGTTATGTTGTGTATTATTGTCTTCCAATTCATTGTTTAGATTACCAAATACAAGCATGCAAAAATTCATCATAAATAAATAAATAAAGTGTTAGCTGTTCCTTTCGATAAACAACCATTGTTGAATTCCTGTCATCCTGTTTGATGAAACTCTATATCACTTATAATTTTTTTGTATTTATTTTTTATACTCTTTACTGGTTTGATTAATCTTGCATTCTTACATCTGGTAATCTGACCAGCTTGGATGAAGATAAAAATATGTAATATAACAACCACTGTCAATCCCTATCATTTTGTTCTGAAACCCTGTATTGTTCTTATAGTTTCTGCTTTGTTTTGTTTTTTTCTATGTTGTTGGCATTTTGCTATTGTTCTTTTTTAAAAAATTCTCTCTTTTTTTTGTTTTTTTTTCCAGTATTGGGGATGGAACTCACAACCTTGTGCTTGCTGGGCAGGCCCTGTGCCGCTGAGCTAAATCCCCATCCCCCAAAATTCTCTTTAAAATAATAAAAAAAAAAGACAGAAGACTCAGTTTAGGATGGGGCTCCCTAGGACGCCAGTTGAGGCCATGGTCAGCGATACGCTTTCTCTCCCATCACACACTTGTCTGCTTTCTTGATCACTGTTTCTAGAAATAGAAACAGATCACTGCTCCTAGCTCACCATTAAGGCCACACAGGGCACATGCTCTGTTTTCTCAGCCTGCTCTGAAAACACTGCTCTACTTGGTCAGGTTACTCAAAGCCATCAGCTAGATCACAGGGTGAAAAGGTTTTAAACACTTCAACCCAAAGGTGACCAGCACTGGTTTATTTTCATTTTCTTTTCTTTTTTTTTTAATTTTGTTTTAACTATAGCCACTCGGAGCCAGTGACTATTTGGAACTGTCGAGGAATTTTGATACAGTATTTTTACGGAACATTCCACAATTTACGTTGGCAAAGAGGACCCAAGCTCGAAGATTCATAACTCTCATTGATAATTTTTATGATTTCAAGGTAAGGAGATCAGATATATTTTTTTCAAAATTACACATTTTGGCCTTTGGAGCGAGATGGCTTGGGCTGCAGTCCTGTCTCTACTACTTACTTCACCTCTCTGTGCCTCAATTTCCTCACCTGCGAACAGGGAATGATAGCATTTACCTCAGAGGGTCTTTGCACACTACCAAGGCTAATCCATCTACTCCAGCGGTTGGCTGCTGTCAGCAGGAGCAGCGGTAGTCATGTGGTCAAGCTCCCACCACAAGTCCCTCTTCTGTGCTGATTCTGTCATTCCATCAGAAGAGCGTGTGCGCCATCCGTAGTAATGCACCACACAATGCCTGGCCCGGGCTCTGTACCCAGCAAATATGTGTTGCTTCAATAAATGGCTGGACTGGTAGAATAAATAAATAAACGAATGACGGAAGGGCCCTCCGCAACATCAGAGCACTCTTCCCCTAGCACCCGGCCTTATACTGCCTTATTCTTTGCATTTGTCTTACCCACATGTTTTAGCACTGATTGCCGGGCCATTGTCTGTTCATGAAGGCCAGTGTAACCCAGTGGCCAAGGCGAGGCCGTGTGGCCAGGCTGTCCGTCCTGGAGACTGGGTTAGTCTCTGTGAGCTTCAGTTGCCTTCCCTAGAAGGAGACAGTAATGGTTCTTACTGCACATGATCGCTGTGAGGCTGGCGGGAGTGTGTAAAGCACTGAGAACGTTATCTGACAGAGTGAGCTCTAGGTCATAGTATATAAATACACGCCGACAGTGAAGGTGTGTGTACAGCTTTGAATAAGAGTGAAGCATTATTTTCCATTAGATACATGGTTTTCCTGCCCATTTCTTGTACAGAAGTAGAGCAGAAAGTCTAAAGGGAAGGGCCTTTGGGGAAAGAGGCGATTACAGACTGCTGGCAGGGAGTGGAGAAATTGTCAAGTTTCGTTTACTCGTGCAGCAGCCTTTCATGGTGCCAAGCCCAGCGCCAAGCGGGAGAGATTCAGTGGAAGTGAAGTGAGACACAGCGACTGTCTTCATGGAGCTTATAGCCTAGTGCCAGAGACACATGAATGCCATATCCTCCGGCAAGTCCAGTCACGACTGCCGGGTGATGTCTTGGACAGAGAAGAGTGTGGCACTGGGAGAATCTAGGGAGGGAGCAGGAACGTAGGGTTGGGCTCAGGGAAGTCCCCTGAGACCCATGGAGGTACCTCAAATCTGGATTCCAGAGGCCACCTCATCCTCGCGGAAGCACAGCAGGACCAGCCCTATGCCCCGGAACCTGCATGTTCAATGTGCCTGTTACGGTTTGTGTCTGGATATCCCCACAAAGCCTCATGCAGTCATGGGGCGGGCTTCTAGAGTCTATGATTGATCCATGGTCCAATGTCCATGGGGTTATGGATGTGAGGGCTGCACCCGCCCTGGGGCAGGTAGTTTGCATACAGTGTAGGGGAGGGAAAGAGGCTGCCTGCCGCCACTTCCCCCTTTTGCTCTTGCTGCTTTTGCTGTTTTGCACCGCCATGAACTGTTGCCCTCTGCCACATGCTACTCTGCCTTGGAGCCAGCCGAGTATGGACTGAAACCTCCACAAACTGTGTGCTAAATAAACCTTTCCTTCTTTAATTTTGGGTGTCAAGTATTTTGTCACAGCAATGAGAGAAAAGTAACCAAGACCGTGCTCCTTATAAATGCTCAGAAGTGCAAGGGGGGAACTCGGCACAGGGGAAGGGTGGCCAGGGTGGGGAGCCGATGGTGAAGCCCTGGAAGGGGTGGGCCGAGCATGAATGCAGCAAGTGCAGGCTCTGGTGCAGTGGCCCAGGAGTGGCCACAGAATCTGCTGCTTGTTCCCAGGGGCCACACACGCGTGATCAGGTAGTCAGGAGAAGTGCAGGCCGAGAGATCAAGGCCCATCACCTGTGGGTGGCTCCTTTCTGCTGAGACTTCGCGCACTACGCACAGGGGCTGTGGAATGAAAGGTGTGACCCAGGAGGTCACTGTGTTTATGGGATGAAGGCTTCCAGAAGAAATGGTGGAGTAGGCGATTGGTCCTAAAATTGGAGGATGGACAATCTCACTGTTACACATTTCAGCTGGATAAACCTTAACACCTATGGCCCCACCCTCAGTCCTACCCGCTAACCCTGCCTCACTCCCACTTTTCTACTTCTTACATAAAAGAGGAAGATTCATCCGCAGTATGACAGGACTCCCAAGCTGCTCTCCTAGCATTTGCTGCCGCTAAACCACACGCTTAGAGATTACAGTCTTTTCAGAATGTAGTCCAAATTACCATACTTCAAAAATTGAGAGCAGTTAACAGACATTATTCTAGAACACATTCACAGAAATTTGTGAAATAATGGCATTTCCATCTAAATCATGAAAGAAAGTATCATTTGTGATTGAAAGAATCTATAGAGGAGACAGAAGACCTTTTGGATATGGAAAAAGTTAGTTCCAAATGCCAAAGTGTTATTTTGAAGTATTGATGTGTTTATTTAAAGAATGACTTGTAAAGGATAACTGTGACTCCTGAAAATAAATACAGGATTTTTTAAACAGCAAGAGGCGTATGTTTTCTATTTAAACTTGCAGATAGGGCATGTACAAAAGACATAAAAGCTGTTTCCAAAATATGATCAAGATATGCCACTGAAATGCTGACGTAGCGAAGGGACGTTAATGCGGAAGTCGGCCTTCTTGATGTCCTGGCAGGTTGCTGGTGTCAGGCTTAGGTAGAGGACTCATGTTCTGACCTTAGCTGGCAGCTGCACAGCACAGCGGGAACCACCCCACTGTGCATCTGAGAGTAGCTTTGATACACACGGAGACCTCCTCCAGACGGCCAGGCGCAGATGTCACCAGCAGGGTGAAGTTGCCCTCGCCTGTGGGTGCCACTAATAAAATGCCACGGGCTGGGTGATTTATAAATAGTAGAAATTTATTTCTTCCACGTCTGGGGACTGAAGAGCCCAAGAGCAAGGCTCGAGCAGATCACTGCAGAGCCCTCTGATTCAGTCACCTCTTGAGGTCCCACCTCCTAACAACTGCATTAGGATCAAGTTCCAACATGGATTTTGCAGGGGATGAACCATAGCAGTGACGGAAAGAGCATTGGACTTAGAATGGGAAAACGGGCTGATGTCTGAGCTGAGACCTCTGTGGACCGCAAGTCTCTTAATAAAACTTACGCGCCTTACCTCACAGTATGGTGTGCAGCTGTGCAGAAATATTTGGAAAGTACTAGGCAGTCATCAAACATCACTTAACCGTAAACTGTTGGAAAAAATAATTATAAAAGCAAAGATTCAGACTCCCTGATGGAACAGATTCTTTTCTTGTGCGAGGGATTTTTCTTACACACAACTTGTGAAATGTAAAGAGTAGCACCGTTTATGCATTTTCCCTGTTTCAGGTGCGTATAATTTGCTCTGCCTCAACTCCTATATCAAGCTTATTTTTGCATCAACATCATGACAGTGAATTGGAGCAAAGCAGAATACTGATGGATGATTTGGGGCTGAGCCAGGTAGGTAATATTAACATAATCTCTTTTTATTATAAAACAGCTTAATTGTTTTTGGTTTGATACATGGCTACATTTTGAAGAAGGAATGCAGTAGATAGTTAACTGTTGATTTGCTGCTTTCTTCTAAAGCTATGGAGCAAACTTACTAAACTACATTTAGCATCACTAAATGTAGACAATTGCACCCTACAGTAGAAGACCTTCGTGACCATATGGCAGAAGGAAGTCCAAGAGGTGGCTACAGGCCCACAGTCACATGCTGGTCATAGTGGGCAGGAGCCGGGCACCAGGGCGCTGTGGCTCCAGGCTCATTCCACTGCCATTTCTGATACTTTTCCACGATGCCTGGACTGCAGTGTATGATACAGCATCCGAGCACGCGAGCTGACTAGTCCAGGACCAGGGAGTGCTCCGGCTTAAGATGAAATGTATGCTTCGATTCCAGCCTTCACTTAGCAAACATCCTTGGAGCACTGTTGATGCCGGCTCTGGGGACACTCTTTAGGGAACAAACTGATGTTGGCCCAGCTCTTCCGGAGCTTAGAGTCTAGATTAACCTCAGGCCAAGCAGAAGTGACTTTGCATTCCTTTCTTCTGTAAGAATATTACAGGGTATAGTTCTCAACTGTTCATAGTGGAAATACTAGTCAAAGTATAAAATCATCAACACAACCCTGTGGATGAAAACACCATTCTTCCTGCCCAGAACTCAAAACCCACTCAAGGGAGATCCACTTCTTACTGACCCAAGTAGAAATTATACATTCTCAGGAGTGTGGGAAAACGAGGCCAGTAATTTTTTATGAAGTGAACTTTCAAACTATGGTTACTTAAACCTACAGGTCTTAGTCTGTTCAGGCCGCTGTAACGGAACACCATAAAGTGTGTGTGGGGGGAGCTTATGTGCAAGAGAAATTTATTTCTCAGCAGTTTAACATCAAGATGCCAGATTTGGTTCCTGGTGAAGGCCTGCTTTTGGTTCCATGTGCGCTGTCTTTGTTTAAAATATAAGCCACACATAGCAGAAGGGGCTCTCTGACCCTCCTTTATAAGGGGGCAATTCTATTCTTGAGGGATCCACTCTCAAGACCTAATAAATCTGAAAGGCTGTATCCCTAATCCCATCACCTTGGGGGTCAAGGCTTCAGCACACAAATGTTGGCACTTTCAGACCTTAGCAGTATAGAAATAGCTGCTTATAAATTCTAGGACTGGGGCCATTTGAAATGTAAGTTCCCCAAGAATAATACTTACATCCAGATATTGTCTTTAACAATTCAGAAGAACACCAGTGGTGCTGAACCTGTGGCACACACGCTGCAGCCGGCTGTTTGTTATCACTGAAAGTTCTACAAGGTTCCCCTTACTGTCATAGGCCCTTAAAAATTTTCCCCTAGGATCAGGGTTTAGACAGAGACCAAAGTAAGCTCAGCTGTTAGGGTCACTCATACAAGAAGAAATCAGAAAATGTGTGTAACCTGCAGGTAATGAAGATCATAGTGAATCAGTGGGGAAGGTGAACTGAAGAGTCTACATTTTTTTTTTTTTTTTTTTTTTTAAAGCACAATAGGACTTGATATGGAAAGAAAGGAAAGGTCAAAGTCCACTTAGTG